TACTGAGTTCACTCCAGTAACTTGAGAGAAAGGAGTTGGTCTGGGGAATAAGGTTAAGGATAATGACAGTGAGTTCTGTTTTGATCATGTTGAGTTGAGACATAATCTGCAGATGGAGAGGTCTCATAAGTCATTGGCTATAAGGATCTGGTACACTCAGAAGAGAAATCTAGGCTGGAGGTTCAGATCTGGGGAGTCCTTAGCATATAGATGAGGTCCCTTTAGGAGAATGAGCACACTGAGGATCCAAGTATCCAGAAGAACCAGGACAGCATACCTCAATAAGAGGGGAATTGCCCCCACAGATGTGGGGTGACAGCATACATAGTCCTTCATTCCCAGTCACACATTTCTGCCCCAAAGATGGTGTCTCAATAATGTCTGTGCATCTCTTAGCTAAACTTACAAAATGGGCATTGAGTACTCAATCCTAACTTCTCCATTTTACCATCATGGTACCTAAAGGGGATAGGGAACCGATACTTTTGTTCTATGTTTCAGGTGTTTTCCATTCATTAACTCGCAGTAATCATATGCAAGATCCCTGCTTCATAAATATCCCGTGCATCCCCTGACTTAACATTTTGCTCACCATTAACTACAAATCCCCTGGGAAAACTGAAGCTCTAACTTGTCAGTCATTTATGGGCTGGTGGGAATGAATTTCAGATTCTTCCTTAAGAACAAAATTTAATTTTATGGGAGAAGAACACTGGAATTTTGAGGGATGGATAAAAAGGGCCAAAGGGGGCCACATTATGAAAGGTCAGCCACCTCCATCAGTTTTCGAAGTTCTACCTAGTCTGAGGAATGCGCTTTTAAGGTTCCTGGATGCTATTTCTGCATATGTGTACTACTTTATAAACAGCTCCATTTCTGGGTTCTTTACCCAACTGTCTGGGTCTGATCAAAGGCAATCTTAAAATGCACACTGTTCCCAGCCCATAGCCAGGAGGAGGCGTCCGGCTTGGACTGTGGTTGTGGACCTGTAGTCCCTGGCCTTAGGCACAAATCCCAAGCCATTCCCTTGAGAATTAGTCCCTGATGTGCACATTTAAAATCCTGAGCAGATGGAGGAGGGAGAGCTTGTTGGAAAGACTTTGAGGAGTCCCTTCTGCCCTGTCTGGGTCTATTTGCCAAAATAAATGACATGTATCAGGGCAGGGCATTGGTCCAAGCCTATTGAAATTCTGCTAGCAGTCCAAACAGTGATGATGTTTCAGATTGGTTCTGTGAAATGATCAGGGTTAGGAAGAAAGAAATGATGTGTGAGCATCTGGCTGCTGCAGCCTACTGATGGGGACAGTCCCAGGGGTGGACCCAGGGCAAGGGGGGGCAGCCTGATGGACCCCCTAGGACATCTGCCATTGGCAAACAGGCAAGAGCCATCCACTGGCAGCAGGCAGTCTAGTTTAAGCTCTACACTGTTCCCACTAATTATGTGACCTAAGCAAGTCCTTCCTCTTCTCTCAGCCTCCTTCCGCCACCCCATGTATAAAATAAACCCTGGATTGAATAGTCTCCAAGGGCCTTCTCTGCTCGAACATTCTGTGACTTCTCTGACACTGGTTTGATTTCTTTTTCTCTGTAGTGGGAGAGGCCCACCCACCCACCTGCTTATCTGTATTCTCTGTGTTCTCACACTGACCTCTGCTGGCCACTAGGAAAAATGTCACTGATAGTGTCTAGAGGGAAAAAAAAAAAAAAAAAAAAAAAAAACAATCCATCACTGATTTAGTACTAATCTTCAACAGTACATTGGGTACTAGGACAGAAACTGTGTGCATTGGAGATGAGCAAAAAAGACCAAACCGTGATGAGCCACAGAGTAATGTTATCAAGAGATGACTGACAAAACAAACCATTTTTCTTTGTTGGTGGTACTGTGTGCCACACTATAAGAGAGGACTTCAGTGGGTGGGAAGGCTCCTTGTCATCATCATATCCTATGGTTCCAGACTTCAGAAGGGCCTGGCACCACACTGAGGAGGGATTTCAAGAGGAATAGTGCCTCAGGAGCCTCATATGCCACAAGCCCTGCTTCTAGTTCTGAAGTCAATCTGACAGGTTTGAAGCTTGCCTGCTCACATGCCCACCATTCTAAAAACCTGGGGGTCAGCCTAGAAGTCCATGATTCTCCAAGTGGTACCTTTTCAAATGCCCCTTTGATAAAAGAGTTGGAATTTTTTAAAAAAAAAAGATTCATGAGGTCTTTTTAAAAAAATATTATTTTAGTTGTCCATGGACCTTTATTTTATTTATTTATAGGCAGTACTGAGAATCAAATCCCATGACTCACACATGCTAAGCAAGTACTCTACCAGGAAACCACCACCCCAGCCCTCATGAGGTCATTAAGAAACTCACTTTCATCTTTGTGAATGGAACAGAGGCATCAACAAATTTAGCATGCCCACCCAGCCAAGGAAAAGGAAGCAGGCCATGGACCCCTGCCTTTGCTGGTTGCAGTCAGAGTTCCTGTTAAGTATAGCCCTAGAATCACCTCATCCCTATGTCTTCTTGTTTGCCCTGGGTGTTGCCCTGGTGTTCTCAAAGGCAAAGGAGTGGAGGTGGGGTGTGCCAGTCCTTGTGCCTATATTGGGCACTGCTCAAGCTCCTCTAATGGTGTGAGAAGGATGGGAATTGGGCCCACTCTCAGTAGGCACTCAATGGTTTATCATGCTTTCCCCCTCGCCTCCCTTGATGTGGGAAAACTTTTGGCAAGACTCAGATTTGGGTCAAGCATTCAGTGCCCTGACTGGGTCTTCTCTGCTAGTAATAACATGACCTCAGCAAGCCCAACCTGATCCCATCCTCCCTCCAAGCAGAGTTCTCCTCCCCAACAGCTGGTTCTTATCTGCCTCCCTTGTTCCAGCCTCAGGCAGGCTGCCCTGGCCTCCTGCTGACACACACATGTTCTCCAGAATGCTCCTTGATGACTTTCAGCCCTGAACACTGCTTTCTTCCCAGATAGTTCTCTATGTCCTACCACATCAACTCTCTAACTTTCTTGCCTGGCTTTCCAGGCCCACTTTGGCTGGGCCCTTTTGGCCATCCAGATGTGGCTCATGACTTCCCCCAGCTATAGGCCAAATGTAAGCATTCCTCAAACATCTGTGGCCAGTCTCTCCTGTGTTCCTGCAGTACTTGTGCTGTGTTCCAGACCTGTACTGTTTGTGATGGTTTTGTGTACAGTACTCTTGGAACCCAGATTTTGACTTCTTTGCCCATTCTTAGCAGCATCCCAACATAATTGTTTTAAAGTATTTCTCTCTCTCCCTCTCCCTCTCGCTCTCCCTCTCCCTCCCCCCCCTACTCTTTACAGATTGGAAAGGAAGTTTATTAGAAAACTATAGTAATCATGCAAGTGTGGTTTTAGCATAAAAGTACATGTAAACAGAATAAAGCCTAGAAATAGATGCACACATGTATCATCAATTGATTTTTTGACAGAGATTTTTTTTCTCCTTATACACACGTATCGATTGTATGGAAATTACAATAGTAAACAACAGAATCACTGTAAACAAAATTCCAGTGATGGGAGGTAACATCCTCAAGAGTGAACACTAACCTCCTATCTTCTTCATTCTCAGAAGCAACCCTATTAGACAGTTTTTAGCCTACCACCCTTTGTAGCCTGTATATTGGGTTTGTGAAAGGTTGAGTGGTAGGTGGTGCCCCAGAGAAATGCATCTCCTTGGGCAGAGTGGCTTTTACTTCTTTTCATGAGTCCTAAGTCTTCACGGGCTTGATTGACATCAAAAATTATACTCCAAAGGACCAGCACAGCTGTTGGCCACTTGTATCTCCAGTTTGTGACTCTAGACACTGCATAAGGCATCCGTCCTGTTTGGAGCCCTGTAAAAAAGATAAACCTTGAATATTAATAGTAAAGGGTATGATTAATGGACTTTTGCCAGATTTTGTCACAGATTTGTAGGAAATTGCAGACAGTCAGTAAAGAGGCCGAGAGGTGGAGATGGAGCATTTATGAAAATAAGCTCTCTACCTGATATGGTGTTGTGTTTTCTGAGAGGTAATGCACATTACTAATGGTTTTCATTTTTCTGCCAAGAAAATTCAGTCCCTACTGGGATTTGTTCTAAATGATAGTCCAGGCTGCCTGTATTGTACCCACTGGGGTTAATTCTCAGTCTCAGTCTGCTTTAAAATGTCAGCCTGAACTCTCAGACTTAATTGTTACAGACATTTTATAACCAGGGCATTCAAAATCCTCAGGCTGCTCTCTCTTGCTACCATAATTGATGCTTAATAGATATTCACAGGCTCCTTGCATTTTACACATTCAACACTGTTCAGATTGGGGGAAGAGGAAAGGAGGGAGAATAGGAAGAGCAAGTAAACAGTACATGTGTATGTGTGTGTGTGTGTGTGTGTGTGTGTGTGTGTGTGTGTGTGTGTTGTGTTTTCCCTGTAAGTATCTGTTGTCAGGTACAGCAATTTGGATCCTGGGATCAGCCAAAGATGAATTCGGACAGGTTGGTCAACTCAGAGGTTTTTAGATTCTCCCCTCCCTGCCCCCCTGGGGCAGTATTCTTTAAGCATGGCCATTTCCAAACTTCACTGCAAGCTTGTGGCTGGCCATTTGGATGTGAGTTTAAAAATGCCACAATGTTCTCTGGTGTTCTGTTCTTTCACTATTTTGACAATCTGATGGATGGTCTGGCATTCACTGGGAAGAAGACAATATTATCCAGCCTGAATAACTAATCTCCTAAGAAGTACAAAGTTGAAGGATCTTGGTGCACATGAATCTTATTAAATGAGCTTATAAAATGTGTTCTATCCAAATAAGCTTAGCAGCCCCTAAAATAGCCTTTTTCTGATCCATGTCTGGAACTTTGGCATGCCTCAGAGATCTGTAAGCCAAAATTATTTAATGAAGTGGTGACAGTGTTCTTTGTGCATGGGAAAATGGAAAGTGTTGATGTTGAGTTCTGTATTGACTAATTGCACTCCTTCTGTCCATCTCTTAGGGGCGACCTGGACCAATTGGATTTCAAGGTCCCACAGGTCCTGAAGGCTTTGCTGGCCCTACTGGTTTATCAGGATTGAAAGGGGAAAAGGGCTCCCCAGGCCCTCTGGGACCATATGGACCAAAAGGAGATAAGGTAAGATCACCAAAGCTTGCTTTTCCTGTGATGCATGGATCATAAGCATTAAGGCCAAAAATTGTCAATCTCACTTCTGCTCAATTTTGGGAATAATACTTAGTGAATTTCTTCAGTGTCCAGCTACATACTTTAATAAGAGATGAGATGGGGACTGGGGTTCTGGCTGAGTGGTAGAGCGCTTGCCTAGCAAGTGGAAGCACTGGGTTTGATCCTCAGCATCACATAAAAATAAATAAATAAAATAAAGGTATTGTGTCTATCTACAACTAAAACTTAAAAAAGAGGAGATGAGTGATATACTGCTGATGGTTCAGCCCATTTCTGGAGAGACTCTCATGGGCAAGCAAACTGTAAAGTACATTATTACCTATTTGCCAGACAAGTGGACTCACTGTGAAGAGAAATCATGTTCATTGAAACTGGGCACAGATCAGAAGTCCATTCAGCCAGATACTAGAGAACAAGAACCCCAGAAAAGAGACTGGGAGGCAAGAGCTCAGAAGGTTTGGTAGAAATTTGGGCCAGAAATAGAGGGGAAAACTACAAGAAAGGAGAGTGATAATATCATGGTGGCAGGCCAACTGAGTTTAGCAACTCAGTTTATGTTCCCTGCCTAGTTTAATTACCTCCTATTAACCTGGTTGGTGAGGGAGGGATTCTCACACTAAAATAATGGGAATGGCTGAAGACACGACACCTAATACTGGATAGATGAGGTCGATAGCAGTTTATTACTTATATAGACTCACAGCTCAAGGGAGGAGGACACCGCACACCATGCAAGACCACATAGTGATTGTGCTCAGGAAGACTGAACTAAGAGGCTGTGAGAGGTCTCAGACTTTATGTATCAAGAGCCCTGGTTCCTGAAGGATGACGTGATTTGACTTGTTTGAATAATTCAGTGGTCCAGCAGGGTATTGCAGCAGCTATTCAGGGATAAGCAGAAACTGCACCTGGTCCATTTGATAAAGAGGGTGGTTTGGCTACAGAACTTTATCTGAAAGAGCAGGTGGGGAGGGAACTCATGGTTAGGCCTCTCGAAGCCCTCCTGGGTTTCTCCAGATGTCAAAGCAGCATGTGATATTCAGCCTTAATTTTAAAGTTTAACACTATACTGCATAAGGATGATAACTCATCTCAGAACACAGACACATCCAAGGCCTTAGGTGAAAGCAAGTGATCACTTAGCACTGAAGTAGGGAACAAGGCCACACAATGTGGAGAGGGAAATACAAAGCATTTCTTAACAACTTAGGTATTTGAATCACATAAACAAACCTACCAAATCTAGCAGATATCAATTGAATTCCATGCCTGGAATCCCAGAGGCTTGGGAGGCTGAGACAGGAGGATCGTGAGTTCAAAGCCAGCCTCAACAACTCAGTGAGACCCTGTCTCTAAATAAAAATACAAAATAGGGCTGAGGATGTGACTCAGGGGTCGAGTGCTCCTAAGTTCAATCCCCAGTATGCCCCACTCCATAAATGGGATTGTCTCTTACATTCATCTGCTTACTCCTTTTTTTAAGGGTCCCATGGGAGTTCCTGGCTTTCTTGGCATCAATGGGATTCCGGTAAGTGTCCACAGATGCATTTTTAATATCATCCTATAGGTTCTACTTCACAGCTGGGGTACTTTGGCCTTAGCAACATCCTGTCGTATGCAAGCATGCTTAGGGTCAAATATTGAGATGTGTGTGGTGAAATTGGAAGGGCAGTGGTCACAGTTACCCATGTACTCAAGTATAGGAAGCCCTAAGTCAGACTGCTGAGGGGTAGAGGGGCATATGCATCCATAAGAAATCATCCCTATTTTAGCCCAAATGGGTAAGGTCTTGTAAGTTGAGGGAAGCTTTGATTGAAGATGAGGGACTGTTTCTAAGGTACAGAGGCTGAGCCATATTAGAACATATACATGCTCGTTATAGGAGGATTACGAAGGTATATGCAAATTAGAAAAAGTCCTTAACGATATCTTTTTTTATATCTTTATTTTATTTATTTATTTTTATGTGGTGTTGAGGATTGAACCCAATGACTGGCATGTGCTAGGCGGGTGCTCTACCACTGAGCCACAACCCCCGCCTTAATGATATCTTGATATACTTTGTCTCAGTAGTTTGTTCTTTTCAGCCTTACTTCATTTCAGAGTGACTTTCCCTTTAGATTTTATAAAGTGACTATTCCAAAGATCACTTGGACATAGACTCTTGGCATACACTGCTTTGCTACATAAAAGTAGTGGGTTGGGAGCTTGCAGATATATCTTTCTCCATTCCATCCAACCCAATCCTGTAGTTGCTCCATTTTTGTCCTATATTTCCACTTAACCCACCACTGGAGATTCCATGGTAACATTTCCTCAGCCTTTAAAATCCTACTGTATTGTGTTTTGGAACTTACTGGCTACCACATTTTGGTTTTGCCCATAGTCACTTTTCTCTCTATTCAAACCCCAGCCTGGGCTGTTTGTCTAGTGCAGTGATTTTCAGTCTTCTTTAAGAGAGGACTAGATCTTGTGCAGAAAGCTCAGTATATCAAACAAAAAAGAAAAAGTGAAGCTCCTCCATTTGAAGGGGCCCTGGATTCTGCCTTCATCCTTCCACAAATTCAAGGAGTTCCAATCGATATCAAAACATGCTTTGGGAGTCCTAGACTTAAGAGTTTCTTTTGTTATGCTACATAATCTAGTATTAATGAAAGGATTGCAGATCTCTTTGTCTTAACCTGTAAAAATTTCATGATCATCTGCTATGTGCTAGGACTATACTGTGGGTATATAAAGGAAGCATTTGGCTATAGCTATGACCTCAGAGATATTATCATCTGGTCCATTTTCTCCCAAAATATAATAGACATTTGTGGATTTGGAGAACAGAAGGTTCTCTTGTCTTGTATTTGTTATACATATCAACAAGTCAACTATCACTTTTCTGCATTCTATTTAACTTCAGAGTCTGAAAAATGCCCAGAAGTGGGCCAGTGGGAAAACAAAGTGGATGGGAATGGCCATCCTTTCATGACATCTCCTGGCATTTTCTTATGGCTGTGTTCCTATCATCACTTTAGCCAGTCTCCAGTCAGAGTTTGTACCTTCTTGGAACCAAGGGTAAGAGAAACTAGAAAAATGGAAGCAGCCTCTACCATTCATCCTATAGACCTGGCTTTGACAGAGATGAGTGGAGGATTTGGAGCTTAAAGTGTTAACACACCCTTCCTCCTGCGGTCTCTTTTTAATGGGAGGTAAAATAAAGTAAATCATATGAGGCCCACACTACTTCCAAATCAGAGTTGGAACCTGTCCCCAGGTCCAGCTGGACACTTCTGCCTTCAACTTGTAATCAAAAGAGCTCTAGAGCTTGCAGGAGTTGATCACTTCTCTTTGGGTCTTCATTGCTTAGGAGAAAGAGTTGCAGCTGTCCATACTCCCCCAGTAAGTTTGTTGCTCCCAGTTTTCACTGCCACTCCCTTGGTCCTTCCCTTGACTAAAGCTTGTCTATGTTTTCTGTTGACTTTTGAATTCTTTAGCTTCAGGTCTCAAGCTTCATTACTCCATGAAATCCTTCTTCCTTATTTTTTCCTCTCTTCTAGCTATTTAAAAAGTATGTATTGAGCATCTTTTGTTCAGTTCTTGCCTCTTCCTTCCATCTCTGAGGTCCTAGGAGGCCTTGCTCAATGCCTCACATACTCTAGTTTCTTATTACATACAGCCCAATGGTAGTTATTGCTTGTCCTGTGTGATAGTCTCATAGCTTCCTGAGAGCACAGATTAAATCTTCTGCTCCTCCCAGAGGCTCTGGAGGCCTACAGTTGAGTTCAGCATCCCTCTGGATATCTAACAAGATTTAGAGGACTGACTCCAACCTCTATTTTTTTTTTTTGAGCAATAATTCTCAGACTGGCTTGACTCCCTCAGACAGAGGAAAACAAAGATACCATAGGCCCAGTCAGACTATTTTTTTTTCAACTTTTAACAACTTATTAAGCAATTTGACTGAAACCATCAGCTTCTGCAACACAACTTACTAAACTGGATCACTGCATGGATCTGGTTCCTTTCTTAATATAGGCTGATCATTAACTTAAGTGTCACTGGTTTGAGTCCCAAAACTCCATCTTTGTTGTCATATAGACAATTTCAACATGAATAGGTGAGTAATAATTTCATGATAACCTGAATCTTTGCATCAAGGGGCACAACAACCAGTAGAGAGAATGAACAAACAAGCATTCATCAAGATTTTCCATATCAGAACAATGTAGACTGAGGATAGTAGGGGCTGTGGCTTTTAATGATGTCTCAACTGTGAATTGGGGCTGTTGGTACCAATAACAAATGTACATTTGTCAAATGCTTGCAGTTCAAATAAGTTGGGAAGAGCAGAGGTTTTCAAGTTGTTCTTTGCAATTTATGTTTATCTTTTCCCATGGAGTCAACCTCAGACATTGCCCTGCATAGAGGCTTATAAATGAGCACACTAGATTTATATCCCCAAAGTGGACACATACCACTCACTAAGTGGGAACTTTGAAACTGGGTTCTGAGGAACACTGTTTTTCTGGAATACAGTAAGTATTCCTAGTCTGTGTACTCAGTCCCTTATGGCTACATTGAACTAAGGCTTCCTTCCTCAAAAAGCTATACTCACTCTCTTAGAAAACTGGCACACACATATGTAAAGTCATCACTTATAACCAGAAACAGCAAAGTGCCGGAAATTCCGTGGCCCTGAAAATCAAGAGGAAGGCTGAACTTGGCCTTGTGCTTACCCTTGCTGACTTATCTGGGAGAAAACTTACCATTTATTGAACTCCTACTTAGTAAATCTAATCCCACTTGATTTTGACCAGAATGCAATAGGGTAGGCATTATTCATTCTTAAATTTGACAGCAACCCTATAAAGTAGGTGTTATTCAGCTCCACAGTAGAGATGAAGGAACTGAAGCTTCATTCAGCTCGGAAGAGGCAAAGCTAACATTAGAGCACAATTCTGAATGGCTCAAAATGTGTATTGTCTACCATCCCATAGTATCAGCTGGATGAGAAAGGGCTGGAAAGTCTGAGTTCGAGATCAGATTTCAATTCTCGAGAATTCCACTAATGTAAAAAAAGAGTGAACAGATAACCTTAGAATCCTGCAGGTAAGAGATATCAGGAATTTAGGTGACAAAAGTATCAAAGGAATGAGCCCAAGTGAAAAATGAAGAAACCAAAGAGTGAGAATCCAGGAGTAAGGAAGACTCCTGCACCAGCCTGTTTTGCCTTAACTTATTCTTGTTACCCAGCTGAGAGATAACCCCTAGGAAGTTCCACTGGAACAGTTTACAGTGGTCATTACTGGTCACCCCAGCAAGTAGTAGGTAGTACACCCAAGAATTTAACTGAGTAGATTGAATAAAGAGTATACTTAAAGGATGTGGGAGGGATTAAGATAAACAATAGATGGCAAATGAACTAACTCAAAGCGATTAACAGCGTAGATCCAAAGAGGAAAAATGGAATTGTAGTACTGGAACCCAATGAGACCTGGAACCATAAAATAGCTGTTGCCCAAGAGGACCTAAGAATTTAGAGAAATGTGGCTAGTGCCAGAAATATAGCCAGTGGACAAGGGCATGGGGGAAATAAATAGTCTGTGCTCTGTCTCCTCTTGCTCCAATCTGCATCCTGAGTCTCCCAGTGAAGACTCCCAGAATCTCTTCCTGAAGAGAAGATACAGTTCCCTAAATGAGGCAGTAACCTGAAATGTGATTTTGATTAAATGAAATTGAAAGTGTGGTTCTTGCAGGACTTGCTTATTTTGGACCAAGCAGATTTCAGGAGAGGAGGCACTGTGGAAACTGCTGCTGCTCTGTAGACCAAAGTCCAGCATCAGTTCCCATGCAGAGCTTCGAATAGAGAAATCATGCCAGGCTTCCCAGGATCTGTCTGGTCAAAGTATTCCCACAGCCTGGCATGATTTCTGTTGGGAGCAGTTCAGCTGCCAGACTGCTAAGCTCCACTTTAGTACATCTTTGTACTCAGGGAATGTGAACTTATAGAACCTTATATATTCCATCTGTTTGTGCTTGATCCCTTTAGTTTCAGCTTGAATCCTATTAAAAGTATTGATCCTTTGAGAAGAGGTATCTTTGAGCTGCAATTAGACACATGTACTTGAGTCTAAAAGAAAGATATGAGAACATATGTGGTGGGGTTAAGCAAATAGACAAGGAGCCAAGAGTTTAGCAGGATTCTTGACTTTTCTCACTGTAGAGCCTTTTGGATTAATTGACAATCCTGTGGCTGACATAATCCTTTCTTTTCTATTTGAACAGGGCCACCCTGGACAGCCAGGCCCCAGAGGTCCACCTGGCCTAGATGGCTGTAATGGAACTAGAGGAGCTGTTGGATTTCCAGGCCCTGATGGCTATCCTGGGATTCTTGGACCACCTGTATGCTTCCAGATCTTTGCACTTCAATTTAATTGGCATTGCTTGCCTCCAAATATGCTCTTTTTCTGCTCATCTGGCAACCTCATTAAGCTTCTTTGGGGCAGTCACTGCAGTCCCTTGTCCAAAGCTGGAATCTGTGTTGGCAACACAACAGCAACACAAGTCTAAAGAATACCAGTTGCAGGGGGTGTACACAGGCCACACTACTTCACGTTGCTCTTTAAATATTGCTTTTGGAATCGGCAAGATTGTTAAAAGGTTATAGTACATTTCAGAGCAAAATATACACTTGGGCTATCTGACATGTTCCCTCATCAGTGGATACAGGAAAATGCTTGGAAGGTTTACATATGATCTAGAAGCATTAACAAGGTCCCAGAGGCTTGGCAAGCTTGATATGTACCAATGGTACTTAACCAGGGTGATTTTGCCCCTCAGGGGATATTTGGCAATTGTTATTGATATCTTTCCATGTCTCAACTGAGGGCTCAGAATAGCACCCCCCCCCAAATCAAGGAATCCTTTGGTCCAATGTGTCACTGGTGCTGAGGTTGAAAAAAGCTAGTCCCCACCCCACATCATTACCCTTGATTGTGGGGTTGATATTTATTAGACTCAAGTCTCATCAGTTTTACTTAATTATATTCCTCCAGATAAGGCTCAGATATTTGGATCTAAAGAATCTCTAGTATATATCATATCTTTGCAAGGCTGGTTTCTTTTAAAGTGGCTGGAAAGAGAAAATAACACATTTCAAGCCAATTTTTAACCTCACTTGAAAAACATTTAAATTAATAAGGGTTCTTATGTGAGACTTTTAACTAGAAACCAGTGTATCCATTAAATAGCTTCATAGCTACAAGAATTAATTGGCATTTTACTAGAATAGCATCACCATTGCCTTCAGTAACCAGGTTGTGGGTGTACCTGTGAGAAAGTGAGACAGACAAACAGACAAATCACAAACCCCAGATTGCCATAAAGGACCTTGACATCTAAGGACCAAACCAATGTATAGCTGAAGGGGGAGGCTGTAGGAAAAGATATATTCCTAACATGGAATAATCTGTGTGCATCACAAAGGCCTCCAAACATTGCCATGGCAACAGGGGAGAGGAAAAGAATACTTCTGTGGTGATAAAGGAAAGGGAATTCTGCCCCCAAAAAGAATAGAGATCCTGAGGTAATAAAACATCCCCTGATGAACACAGGACATGGGTAGAAACTTAATCCTGTCCCTAAACCTTACCTTAAGCCTAAATAGGAATTTGGGAATGTATTTTACTAAGCTGAACCTTACCCCCTGCTGAATACCCGGGAATCTCTATTCAACCAGTTTCTTTGAAGCCTCTTTGAAAACAATAGTGACCACAAGAATAAGGGGAAACAGGCGGTGTTAGGAAAGAAACTGGTTTATGCTTCTGGGACCATGTTGTTCTTTTATAATACCAATGGTCCCTGCACTCAAAGAATCCATCATTCAGTCAACACTTCAGTCCCCAAAGCTTAGCCCTTCCCCCAGTACTAATCCTGATTTCCCCTTAGATGTAAGGACATTGATTTTCCCCAGGAGGACAAACTTTAGAAGATATTAGCCAGCATTTGCCACTGAGACAGCAAAAAAAGAAATCTAGTTCAAAGATTGGGATTGGGTACTTTGAGCTGTTTTCCATGTTAACAGCACGACGCATCAGCCCCTTACACAGGTGTTGAGGTGGAAGTTGTGTGATAGAAGCAGAGGATGACAATGGTTTTATAGGTATCTTTTAGACCAGAGGCCTACAACTGGTGCACAATGGCACTTGCCCTATAGCCTAATTTTACATTTGAAAGATATTTTAAAAGAAAGAACAAGAAAAATATGGGGCAGATTCCAGATGTGACCCACAAACCCTAAATAAATATCTGGCTCTTTATATAAAAAATGATGACCTTTGTCCTAGGCTCTGTCAGTGTCTTATACCTATTGGGGGTAGAGTAGTGAACTCTAGGCTTATGGATTATGTGTTTGTTCAGATCAATGGTATGAATAAATGTTAAGTTTTCTTCTGTCTAATCCATATCCTTTAACATACCTTTGACTTGGGGAATGGAGGAATGGACATCTAACCTTGAGACACTAGCAACTGTTAAGGAGTCATGCTTTGCCCCTTAGCACAGCCAGTTCTGTCATAGAGTAAGCCAAATAATTTCAGGCTCTCATAGTTCCATCCTCCATCTAATCAGATCATACTATAAACAAAACTATGCATGCATGTGTTTCTTCACAAGTTTCTCTTATTATTTTATTCAGGGGCTCCCTGGTCAGAAAGGCTCAAAAGGGGAACCTATTCCTTCTCCAGGGAGTTTCGCAGGAATGAAGGTAAGATCTCTAAGGCAGCCAGCTGAGTAGGTTGTAAGATGGGCTCCCCAGGATTAGGCCCCACTTCCAATAAAAAGTATTTCTACAACTAGCATCTGTGTCTCTATTTAAGGAGCAGACCAAGCTGGATTTAAAAGGATCTGGAGCTTTTGTGGTGCAAACACTGACAGAAATGTTTGCAACTATACTGCCAAAGAGATCTGCCTTGTAGGATTTAGACCAAAAATAAGAGACACAACAGTTTGCATGGGTATAATTTTCTTTGACAAGCCAAGACGTTTTCTAGAGGCAGATATCTTTGGAATATCCTAGAATCCTTGACATGTGTATATCTTAGTTTTAATTCATATATGTCTGTCTGCCTCAGTGTGGCTACCAGCTTAGGATCCTGGCCTGGCCTTCTCTGCCTCTGCATACCATCCTGTCACCCTAGCTGGGAGCTCCATATATGCAAAAACATGCTCATTAGCTCTGAAGCTAGATGGAAACTTTCATCTCTTGTCAAAAACCTTCTTTTTTCTTGTGACTGTACTCTTAGTATATGCTGCCTGATATCCTTGTGGAGTCTCATAAATCCTTCTTCCAAAGGATTGACCCTTTTTCTTTGCAGAGTAGGAAAGGAACCCATCATTGCCCTGATAGCAGATGAGAATCTAAGGTCCCAACATCTGAGGGGAAGATGCTCCAAGCTCACTCAGCTACTCAGTGGTACTTTTCTGACTTCCATTAATGTACACAGCAGGGGACACTGGAAACTGCTCTGGAAGACAGAGATGGGGTTGTGTAACTGGAGAACTAGAGATGATCCAGGGTTTTGGCTGTTAAGTATAGATGTCATAAACAGTAATTGGGAAGGACCTTGCCATTATCAGATTTTATATTGTTCATTTGACAGATAGAAAAACTGAGGTGTACTGAGGCTTTGTAACTTGCTCAAAGCCAAACAGCCAGTTAACCAAAGAGTTTAACCCCAGGCAGTGCTATTTCCATGCTACAGAGAGCTGATTTTTGACTGCAAGCCAAGTGGGGTAAGACTAGTAAGTGTCAAAATATAGCCATTGTCTTAGCAAACATTGATTAAATGGTTTTGCCCAAAATCAAAGAGACCCTAGATCCAGTGGAACACAGCAGTTTCCACAAGATGGTTATATTACAGATTCATACAGTGGCTTAAGATGCTGCAAAGTAATTAAAACGTAATCAGAGACTGTATGCTCTGTTGATTTTCCCTTGAAATGTCTGATTTGCATTGTATACATATGGGCACAGATTCTCTGGGGATGAAGGCACACGGGAAGGTAGCTTTGCCTTCCTCTAAAAAGAGCAGGAAAATCAGCAGCCCGCAGAAGCAGTTTCTAATTGATAAGTTCCTAGCAAAGGTGAAAATTAATTAATCCAAGTAAAATATGAAATCCTGTTCAGCCAAGGCTATAATATTTGTCTTCAAGAGTCCAGATTTTTCATAGGAAAAAAGTAAATGGTTGAATATGTCCAATTCATGCAATATTTAAAACATGAAATGTTGGCAGAGGAGGCCCAGGTTTTCTGTAATGCATTTTATCTCCATGAATCCTAGATTAGTTGTCTAAAATACTGTAGGCCTGATTGATTAATCTCTTCAGTGTCCCGCCTTTGTCTGTTTCTCAGGGGGATCCTGGATTACCTGGACTGGATGGAATCCCTGTAAGTTGTTATTTATGTATGGAGCTCTCAGTGTTTAGTCGACAGTCACAGGTGGTGTTTTTTTGTTGTTGTTTTGTTTTGTTTTGTATGGTGTTTGAAGGTCTTCATAGCGATTCTTAAGGCAATCTACAGAGTTGAGATAGAACAGGTCATACAATTCCCATTTTTTTGATGAGAAGGTACCAAGAAGATGAACTGTCTACCTCAAGTTTCACAACAGACAGGCTTTCAGACTTTAGGTCAGTAACCTATGTAGCCCTCCTTTATTTGTGGGAGATATGTTAGAAAACTGCCAATGTATGCCTGAAACCATGGATAATATCAAACCCTATATATATACTATGTTTTTTCTTATACATACAGACATACGATAAAGTTTAATTTGTCATTTAGATGCAGCAAGAGATTACCAAAAATAACTAATAATAAAACAAAACAAGTATAATATATGGTAATAAAAGTTATGTGGATATACTCTCTAGCCCCTTTTGTTTTGCTTTCTCTCAAAATACCTTAATTTACTGTGTTTACCCTTCTTCAAAAATATGAAATGATACAATGCCTATGTTGTGAGATGAAGTGACTTAGGCATTGGGATATAACATTAGACTACTATGTAAAGCTCATTTGACCATTAAATCCATGATACTTTTTCCATTTAGTATTTTCGAACTGTGGTTGATTGGGGATAACTTAAAGCATGAAACATGAAATCATGGATAAGTGGGGATTACTGTTTTTTCTGGAAGTATTAGGAAAAGTATCTTACCTTTCATTCAGCAAGCATCTACTAAGTGTTCAGTGCTGTACAAAAGAACTAGAACACACTTATTTTAAAAAGGTATTCCATATGAGAAATTCTTTTTAGGGACTCTGATAATTGTTCGTGAAAGGCCTTAAGTTGTATTAAAAAGAGCTTTGTGGGCTGGAGTGTAGCTCAGTGGTAGAGCGCTTGCCTTGCATACATGAGGCACTGGGTTTGATCCTCAGCACCACATAAAAATAAATAAATAAAGATGGTGCATCCATCTACAACTAAAGCAAAATATTTTTAAAAACGAGCTTTGTTTGTTGGGCACAGTGGTGCATATCTGTAATCCCATCAACCCAGGAGGCTGAAGCAAGAGAATCTCAAGTTCAAGGCCAGTGTGGGCAATTTAGTGAGACTGTCTCCAAACTAAAAGGGCCTAGGGATATAGCTCAATGGTAGAGTATCCCTAGGCTCAATCCCCAGTACAAAGAAGAGGTTTCTTTCCCCTTGAACTCAACATAGTCATCACTTTCCTTTGAAGTAGCCTAAGAATTGCTCCTTCTTTCTTCCATCTTTCCTATATTCCTTCCTTCTTCCCTTCCTTTTTCAATCCTCAACAATATTGAATACCTCCTAGAAGCAAAGTGCTATGAGTTCCCTAAGGCAACCTAGACACAGTCCCTCCCCTCCCCATGTAAAAACTAATGGAAGGAATGTGTTATAAGAATTCCACAGTGATTACCAGACTAGGAGGCACTGCTGTGAAAGATAATTTACTGTTTTAAAACATTAATTTAAAATAAATGTTATAAAAGAAATAAAATAGAATTCCATCACAACTTAGAAGAAGAGATGCTACTCACCTAAAGATGCATCATGGGAGACTTGTATCTTAGAGAAGGTGGCTTCTGACAAGTATGGATGATGTTTAGACTTGCAGGCAGTGGGAGGAGGCTTTAGGCAAGAAACAAGAGGTATGCAAGCCTACACAAAAACAAAGATGAGTAAGGGCCAAGGGCATATAGGTCCCCTGGAGCTACGCAAAGTAGGTTGAAATGGTGTGATCATTAAGTTTGTAAAATAACATACACTGTTTTTGCTGCATACCTTCTCTTAGGGATTTGTTCCCTGTCCAAAAAAGTACAGTGTCTATTTACCCAGTCATCATATAGAAAGTGTTTAGATTTGAGGATAGGATGTTTAATGACTAAACCAGAGATTTGTGATCAGTAAAGAGAAAACAGGCTGTTCTTTTCAAAGCAGTGTTTATATTGTCATTCATTCTTAGGGACTATCCTTGAATTCCTCCCTTTTTTTCCTCCTAAGTCCTGACCTCTCTTAGCCTTGGGATGAGGGCAAAGATTTACTGGGAAGGGACAGGAGGAAATTTTCTGATTGATGTTCATGTTGTATACCATAATAGCAGATTAGGTTACAAGGTTCCCAGTGGAACCAGGCCTTACATTTCTCCAGTCTTTTGTTTGATTTCTCTGCCTTGCCTTTAGAATTGGTGTTCAGTTCTAAACATTTTCTAATTTCCCTTCTGACTTTTTCTTTGACCCATGGAGTATTTAAGTGTGTTGTTTCATTCCCAAGTATTTGACAACTTCCTAAATATCTTTTTAATGATTTTTAGTTTGATTTCATTGCAGTTAAGAGGGCATACTCTGTGTAATTCTAATCCTTTTAAACTTGCTGAGGTTTGGCTTATGGTCTCACATATGATCTACCTTGGTGAATGTTCCATATATGCATGTGAAGAGAACATGTATTCAGTTGTTGTTGAATATAATCAGTATCCATTAGATCAAGGTAGTTGACAATGTTGTTTGGATCTTTAATGTCCTCATTTTTTTAAGTTCTATTAATTAATGAGAGAGAGATGTTAAAATCTCCCACTGTAATTGTGGATTTGCCTACCTCACCTTGTAGTTCTGTCAGTTTGGGCTTCACATACTTTGAAGCTCTGCTGTTATATAGATACATCTAATATTGTCTTCTTCATGACTTATTTATCATTATGAAGAACCCCCTCTTTAATTATGATAATTTTAAAATCTCTGTAAATATTCTTTGTCTTGACATTTACTTTATCTGACACTAAATAGCTCTTTTTCTTTCTTTTTAGTTTTTTATCTTTTTATAGCATTTTAGTAAGAAAATTAAAATATAGAGTAAAATTGAATGGAAAACACATACCATTAATATTTTATTATACTTGATTTATCCCTCCTCTATCCATCTATCCATCCTTCTATCAATTCACCCTACTCTTGATGCACTGCAAAGTAAACTTACAATGGGAACACTTACTCCTAAATATTATAGCATATTATCATTAAACTTCACTGTTTGTTTGCAGGTTTTTCTTTTATATAAAATTTGCATACAGTAAAATTCACAGATTTTGAATGTACATTTGCTTAGTTTTCACAAATGCATACTACTGTGTAATCCAATCCTCTATTAAGGAATATAACATGAACATCACCTCGAAAATCCTTTCTGCCTCCTGCCGGTAAATCTTTGTCCCTACCCCAAAGTTAACCACCATTATGGTTTTTTCCATCATAGATTAATTTCTGTCTGCTCTAGAACTTCATATATAAGAAATATTGTAAAGTATAGCCTTTTGAGTCTTGCTTCTCTCATTTAGTACAGTGCTTTTGAGAGTCATCCACACTTTTCATATATCAGTAGATTGTTGCTTTTTATTGTTGAGTATTTATTTCACTATATGGATGTATTATAGTTCATTTATCAGTCCTTGTGTCAATGGATACCTGGGATAGTTCCATTTTTTTACTATTATGAATAAAGTTGCAGTAAACATTCTTTATTAATTTTGTGCACATAGATGTTTTTATTTTTCTTGGAAAACTGTCTTGCTTTTTGACCATGGTAAAACTTTACTACTCTAGGGCCCACGTGGACCACCTGGATCTCCTGGAGATTCAGGATCCAAAGGACCACCAGGATTACAAGTAAGACCAACTTAAATCTCGTATGTGATCACAATATTGACATGACTGTTTTCTTTACCTTGCTACAGATTAAATGTAAGCCTATATAATCTAGGCCGTCTTAGTAGAGAAGGGCAACTTCCCTTCCTGGAGGATTAAAATGAAACATGTTCTTACTAGGAGCTATTGGTTATCTTTATTTGTCAGAGTCTTTCTTACCATCCAATCTATAACTCCAAAGCCTCCTAGTTCAGCTCAACTCAAAGTATAGCCCAAGGATGGCAGAAACATGACATATCTTCTGCTACCTTCTGCTCCCTTACCCAAGACAGACATTGCTAATCAATCATACCACCACCACTTCTGTCACATACCCTGAACATAAAGCTTCAAAATTCTTCTCAGCATTGAATGTTGGATGGCTCTACCTACCTACCTATTTTTCTGATATCAAATATGTGTTTCACTGGTATATGTGCAACACATGACATCCCTTTGCTTGTGACTCTGGCTTACTTTCATCGAGTCATCATTTAAAATTTTTGAACCTGTGGGCCTGGGGTTGTAGCTCAGTGGTAGAGCACTTGCCTAGAACATGAGAGGCACTGGGTTTGATCCTCAGCATCACATAAAAAGACAAACAAAATAAATGTATTGTGTCCATCTACAACTAAAAATATATATTTTTTTTAATTTTGGATCTGTTGGGAAGAATGATACATGAAGTCTTCATTACCTTAGCATGAATTTGGTTACCAGGTCAATTTGAGAGTTTTCTCAGGAGATTATAGAAACTATGAGAGAAGGAGCTAGAATCTGCTATAACAAGGCCAGTCTTCACCAAGCCAGGAAGAGGACTTATCCCCAGTGACTTCCAACATGCCCATATTCTTTGAAAATTGACAGGTGCTAACTCTTTTCTTGTAATCTAGGGTCCTCCAGGCCCCCCTGGTTTCCCTGGTCCTGATGTAAGTATACATTGTCTTATGGCATTCTATCTCCTGTAACTTAGTATTCTGGTTTCTCCAGAGAGATACTAGTTTGGTTAAGTTTACTTTCCGGTAAGAGAAAAATAATACTGCATTTCAATTTAAGTTCCTGGAACTTGTTTGTAATTGATTTTGTTTTTCTTCCCTGTACCCCTGTGCCCCAGGGAAATATGGGGTTAGGTTTCCAAGGAGAGAAAGGAGTCAAGGTAAACAGATTTTGGAAAATACAATCTGCATTACACATGCTCCAAGAAATGTCTCTAATTTCTTGAAGCATGTGCCTGCTTGTGAAAGAGAATTGGTTCTTTTTATGAGATAATAATCTTTATAATTTATTTCTTATTTGTTCTTTTTAGTTATACATGACAGTAGAATGTATTTTGACATATTATACATACATGAAGTTTAACTTCCCATTCTTGCAGTTGTACAACATGTGGAGTTACAGTGGTCATGTATTCATATATGAATATAGGAAAGTTATGTCCAATTCATTCTACTGTCTTTTCCATTCTCATTCCCTGTCCCTTCCCCCAACCATCCACATATCAGAGAGAATATTTGGCCTTTGGTGTTTGGGGTTTGGCTTATTTCACTTAGCATGATAGTCTCCAGTTCCATAGGGGATTGGTTCTTCACCTTAAGAAATGGGCATTTCCTTATCCACATAATTTCCCTGATGGTATCCCTTGAGGGCTGCATGTACACATGTGACACATCAGCTTTTGTGGTTCTCTATCTTTCAAAATACTGTCATCTCCCTGCTTCTTACCTGTCTTAACAAACATACCCTCCTAAAATATTTCTTCACTTCCCTCCACCTGATTTTCCCTGTGATTTTGTATATCCTATCACCTTCTTTCCTTTTCTCTGCTTCCTCCCTTCCCTTAATACTTCCTGCTCCTCCTTCTCCTCTTTTTCTCTTCTCTCTCTCTATACTGGTCTATCTCATCTGTCTCTTTCTTAACCTCTCTTTCACAATTCTGTTTTATTTCTCTCCTTCCCTCATTTCCTTCTGTATAAACTGTATGGTGATTTGGGAATCTCTAAGGAGGCTTGGGAACTTGCCCTCCACCTCTTCCTGCCTGGCTCTTGTGGATAACACTGCTTTGTGAAAGAGCAACTGTTGCCTCTAATGTCCCAATAAACACTTCACTGCCTCTGCTTGCATTCTTGGCAAAGATTTATACCAGTTAGAGTTGATCATTGTTGCCAAGAGGTAGCTGTTCACCTTGCTGAAACCCCTTTGTGGCTGTCTTCTAAAAACCCTTTTGTGCATGACCATGGCAACCATGAATCCATGGGTTTCTTTTATCTATCTTGCTTCTTCCCTCTGCAGTGCTGGTACAAAATTCATTTGGTCAGGCTTATAATTCTCAATCCCTTGGCAATGAGAGTTTTGTTTCCTCATAAATGCAAGGATGAAACAACCACAGTAATGGACAGTTTATTTTTTAATTACATCCAGACTCACCCTCTGGATAAATAGTCTGTGTGGTTTAGCCTTTGTTTAATATTCCCTTTGATTTTACAGGGGGATGTTGGCCTCCCTGGCCCCGCAGGACCACCACCATCTACTGGGGAACTAGAATTCATGGGATTCCCCAAAGGGAAGAAAGGCTCCAAGGTATTAAACACTTAGAACAGAAAAAATTAATAATCCCTTTCTTATTAATACCAGAATTCATCTGTAATATGAGAGTATTCTAAAAAAATGAAAGGTTTTAGGTAATGGACCTTTGCTTGGGACTAAGAGTAAAGCCTTCTTTTTTTGTACCTTGTGAAAAGCTTTCTAAAAAGCCTGAGTCTGTTTTTCAATGTGTAGGTAACAAGAATTAAACATTTGGGTTTTTAACCTTCTAACTCCCAAACATCTCAATACTTAGGTTGTCCCCAAAGCACTGTAACAGAACACATACCATAGAAATGTTTCATTTTGAGTTATCTTTTTTTAATTTGTTCTTTTTAGATGTACATGACAGTAAAATGTGTTTTGGTATATTATATATACATGGAGTATAACTTATTCTAATTAGGATCCCATTTGAGTTATTTTTTTGAAGACATTATTTGACCTCAAAATTTGACATTACAATAGGATATACTGTCACCAGCTAGTAGCAGATGTCCTGATTCACCTGATCTAAACTACCAAAACCAACCCTGTAACCTTGTTTAACTGAGATATTTCATAATCTTATTTTTGCATAGGTGAATATATACTATGTACATGGTTGGATTTGAATGGCTTTGTTCTCTTAAGGTGTGCAGATAACTTTTCATTAACCTGAATTCCCTTCCTTCCTTCCTAGGGTTCCTTTGAGTTTTATCATATTTTTTTCCCTTGGTTAAAGGGCCCAAGCTGGCAAGCATGATTTGTCTCACACTTTTAATATTGCCTTTATAGAAGCTCCAGGCCCCTCCAAGTTTACAGGAAATAATCATTGATTTAGGAAATTCTGGAAGCATATAAAAGGTTGTCTGCCTCCCTGATCACCTGCACACCTTAGGGAGCCCTTCTATGGTACCTATAGATAAATTAGCAAATAAGGGAAAGACAGAAGAGAACACTATGTGTGCCTATGCAAGTTGTCACTGTTATTCTAGTCCCAAATCAGTAACTTCTTTGTAGCCTATAGTTTGTTACAGGAAATCACACTGAACAGTTTCTTCCACAAGAAAAAAAAATAGTCATTCTTTCTGTCTTCTAAACAGACAATGCATTTGAGATTCTGTTTTAGACAGTCATGGGTCTTGATCTTTGTACATGGCAAAGGGCTCCCTAAACAAGATATCTTGATACAGCTGCCAATCGGGCAACATGGGGACCTACACCAGTCCTAATATCCATAAGTTCCTCACTCCCCAGCCCAAATTCTTTGAGAAAACCATCCTTCTTTGTGTTTGCTGCTCCCTGATGCTACTTACTAGCCTTTGGCATATTTTCCAGGGTGAACCAGGGCCTCCAGGATTCCCAGGCATGAGTGGCCCTCCAGGGTTCCCGGTAAGTCTTCCTACTTGGTCAACATATATTAAATGGATTGATTGGACAAAACCTTTAGCACTAGGAGGCTAACAGAAAGACCTCTTCTCATGGTGGTTGAAGAGAATGCTACCAGTATCACTATAATAAGGCATTTAAGGAAATTTTCTTGATTCTTGAATTCATGAGGACATTAATGTGATTCTCCATGAATCTGTATATTTTAGAGATTATCAGCTCAAGCTCTAGTATTAGAACAGAATTGGGCTTGACTTTTGGTTTCATCAGTTTCTAGATTTTTTAAATTTCCTTAACTTTTCTGAGTCTTAGTTCCCTCATCTACAAAAAAAGTTATAGAGTAGACTAAGAATTAAATGAGATAATATGCAATAAAAAGGCTTTGTGCATACTGGGAACTTATAAAATGTTTAGTAAATAGTAAGTCTTCTTAGTATTCCTATCTTTACTTTTGTATCTGCCTTTCTAGCTCAGATTCTTTTACTCAGCAAATACTTTGTGGTGGCTCCTTTATGGCAGGCATTCTACTGAACTCAGGGGCTGTTTTAGTCAACTACTTTGCTTTTGTGACCAAAAGACACGAGAAGAACAAGTTTACAGAAGGAAGAGTTTATTTGGGACTCATGGTTTCCAAGTTCTCGGTATATAAACAGCCAACTCCATTGTTCTGGGCCCAAGGTGAGGCAGAACATTACAGTGGAAGGGCATGGAGGATGGGAGAAACTCAGGCCATGTCTATCAAGAAGGAGAGAGGAAGGAGAGAGAGAGAGAGAGAGAGAGAGAGAGAGAGAGAGAGAGAGAGAGAGAGAACTCTATTCAACAAGGACAAAATATAAACCCTGAAGGCATGCCCATAGTAACCTGCCTGTTCCAGCCACAATCTACCTGATTACAGTTGCTATCCAGTTAATCCTTTCCAGTAAGGCTGTCACAACTCAATCATTTCATCTGTAAACTCTCTTATGTTGTTTAATATGTTAGCTTTGGGGGGACAACTCATATCTAAACCATAAAAGAGGTTACAATAGTCATTAAGTAAATGTCTCTGTCCTTGTGATTATATTCTAATGAGAGTGACAGAGAATATGGAAAATAAACATGAGTTAAATTCATAGTAAATACAGGAGCTGGTAGTGTACCTCAGTAGTAAAGTGCTTGCCTAGCATGTACAAGGCCCTGGATTCCATCCCTAGCACCACACACAAAAAAAGAAAGTTCATATATCATCATATAAAAGATGGAAAAAGGGTAAAGTGATAGAATATGGGTGGGGAATAGAGTGGACCACTTGGGACAGAGTCCCCACAAGGGTCTTTCTCAGGAACTGATAGGTGGACAGAGACCTGTATATTATGAGACAGCAAGTCAGGAAAGGACCAGGGAGTTTCAGATCAAGAGAACCATTAAGTACCAAGGCCTTGAAGTTGGATAAAGTTCATCACTTTGGAGAAACATCAAGGTAAGTGGGCAGGACAAAGTAAGCAAGGACAAGAAACAGAGAAGCAGGAGCCAGATCATGGCCATCTTTGCAGATCCAATGTAGTTTTTAAGTTTAATGGGAAGCCATTGGAAGTATCTGACTTGTATTTTTTTAAAGATCACTCTGACTGGTGGGAGAGAGGATAGGGGATATAACAGCAAACATAGGCTATTACAGAAGGCCAGGCAAACAATGATGGTGGTGGCTTGGACTCTGGTGGTAGTAATGGAAGTGGAAGAAGTGGATGAATTCAAAATGTAAACATGTTATATTTTTTTATTATGGAACATTTGAAACATACACAAAAACAGAGGGAATGCCATAATGACCCCCACGGGTACTCATCACCTGGATTCAACAATTAGCAAAACATGGCAAATCTGAAGCAAATATCATTTCAAAATAAATACCACGGTATTTCTAAAACTGAGTTAAAACATAGTGACAATATCATCATCACTAATTAATGATCAGTAATTACTTGATATCAGCTAATAAGACAAAAATTCAAATTTATTATATATATGTGTATATATATATATATATGTATGTATGTATATATAATTACAGTTGCCTTGTTGGAATGAGAAAACAAATAAAACTGATATATTTGGTTTATCTATCTCAAATCATAAGATGTTTTGAAGAAGCTGACAAGATTTTCATGGATTTGAGGTAGAAAATAAGAGGAAAAATAATGAATCAAAGGTGACAAGTCCTGCCCCTGCTTGCTTTCACAATGGGGATAGATGTCTCCAGTCCTTCCCTGCAGTACTTTGAAACACTTTGTCTCTCTCTGGATGGCCAGAAAGCAAAACAAGGGAGCCAGTGACACAGGTTGCTTCCATGAGGATTCCTATTACTCTGTAGAAACAAGTGAGCATAGAGAATCATTTGTTCAGTGTCCTTGATTTTAATCAGCTGTGCAGCTAATGAATCAGAAAGCAACAGAAACCTGCTGTCATATACAAATACCTAGTCCTTACACCAAGCTCCAGCTTTGGTACTTTGGCCAGTTGCTGAACCTCTGTCTGTATATTTGTAATATGGCTGTGGTCATATTTAGTCTTTTGGGGTCCTGCTCACAATTTATGTGAAGTTTCTTTACAAAATACAAAGCTGTGCTGTCCAATAATATAACCAGTGGCCACATATGGTTACTGAGGTCCTGAAATATGACTGATCTGAAATGAGATGTAATGTACATGTAAAATACACATCGGATCTTAAAAAAATTGTATGAAAAACATAGCCTAAAATATCTCTGAAACAAGTTTTACTTCAATGTGAAAATGATAATATTTACTGTATATTTAGGTAAATAAGATACATTGTGAAACAAATCTCTATTTTACTTTTTAATGTGGATACTAGAAAATTGAAAATATAATGGCTCATATTATATTTCTGTTGAAGAGCTCTTTGCAAGTAGGTTTGGGCCTTTTTAAAATTGGTATTTTAGTTGTAGATAGACACACAATATCTTTATTTTATTTAATTTGTCTTTTTATGTGATGCTGAGTATCAAACTCAGTGCCTCATGTGTGCAAGGTAATCGCTCTTCCACTGAGCTACAGCCCCAGCCCTTGCACCTTTCTTTGTAGAGCATTTCACGTAGATTCTGACTAGCCATCTTGCACCCTGTGAGGTAAGCAAGGTGAGATAAGCCTGGGATAAGCCTGGCTTATGCCTCATACTGACAAGGAAGCCATGGCTTGAACAGATGAAGATTCTTGTCCAGATTTGCAAAGCTAGTTATTAGCAGAGTTGAGATTGGCATTCATTTTTTTATTGATTTAAAAAAATTACAGCAGAATGCATTACAATTCTTATTACACATATATACCACAATTTTTCATATCTCTGTTTGTATATAAAGTATGTTGACACCCAATTCGTGTCTTCATATGTGTACTTTGGATAATGATGTCTATCACATTCGAATTCTAGCCAGTTTAGGGGTTTTTTTTCCCCATACCATACTGCCCCCTACTGTCCAGTTTGTTCTATTCACCGAGGTGGTGGTGTTTTGTCTCTAAATCACATAGAAAGGATTTTATGATCTCTGGTGCTATAGGATTCAGTGGTTCACGGTCACGCCTTTTCTTCAGTTGGAGCTCAGAGGATTTCTTCTGTTGCAATTTCAATCTGTTCCCTTTTGTCCTATAAAATAAAAAGAAACTGACTGACCACAATGTGCAGTAATAAATTGCAACACCGTTTCAATCTCAGTATTTCTGGTGAGGGCTGAAAAGTGAGGGTATTTCACAGTGAGGGCTGAAAAGTGGAAACGGCCAGTTGCAAAGAAATCAAAGCTGGAAAATACCTCCTTTTACATAGAACAGCATATTTTCATAGGGTGGAAACAGAAATCAGAGTTCTGAGCCCACTTCAGCACAGATTCAATGTTACTGTGGCCAAATCATGTAACTGCTTTGTTCCTAATATGTCTATCTGCTTAATGGGAAGTTCCTAAGTACCTTTGGCAGAAAAGCTATGAGGAGAAAGGTGGTAACATTTGGGGCATTCTGGGCTTTTCAGGGGAAACACACTTCTCAAATCTAAAGTCCTCTCATCAGCTGTCAATTATCTATGCTCACTGCAAAACAAGGCATTGCTGAGGATGCAAATCTCTAGGGAATCTAAGATGTCCCCTTTAGCCATTTGTTTCCTTTCCATTTGAGCCCAAATTTTTGCAGGAGACAAGGTACCCAATCTAACAGATTTAGACCTCCTTTTGCTTTAGCTTCAGTGACCAAATAACCCTGATTTTTCTGGCTCAGTTCTAGCTTCCTATACTCCATCCCCAGCAGCACACTCACACTTGTAGGGTACAGTTCCTCCTATGGAGATTATCAGAGATATTTGTATACCCATGTGCCCTCTGTCCAAGGGGCCAGCAACCAGAAGGCAAACTGGAAGAGGTGAGGGGAGGCAGAAGAGAAGAAACTGTCACATCCTGAAGTAACTATTGAGTGGATCTGAGGTAACTAATGGGTAGGTGGGCTTTTATTTCAATTGGGTATCCCTGGAACTTAAAATCTTCAGGAGCCCAGGGCGCAGGAGAGCAGGAAAGAGTTAAGCTAGTGCTGTAGTGAGGCTCTCCAGGTCACTGGGGAGTAGGAGTGTGGGAGCAGCCATTGCAGGACCACTTTCAACAAGAGCTGGCTGTGATGGGCCAGGTCCCAGGACAACTTGGTAGAATAGCTTGTTCAGCAGGGTCCCTGTACGGTGCCTCCCTGTGCTGGAAGACAAGCTGAGACTACAGCAAACTTGCCAAGCCATTTATCTTTTAATGGCTCAATTCCACATGCACACATTTCTTTATTTTTTCCTTCTTACATTTTTCATGTATTTATTTTTGTTCACATTGTAACGCTAGTTCTCAGACTCTCTCTTTGAGAAAGCAAGAATCTTGAGGCTTTCTCTGCTTTCTAAAGAAGGAGTACAAAGTCCCCTTATATTTATAACTGAGCAAGATAAGTGGGGGGCATGAGATAGTTCTGGGCATTCTATTTTTCACTGCTTGCCCCTTCTCTTGGTCATTATTCCATTCAATTCAACAACTTTTTAAACCAATTTAAAACAAGTTTATTCATTAACCAAGCCTTCAATTCAGCAATCATTTACTGGACTACCGTGGATGTGTTCAGGCAGCAGTAACAGCGCCTTGGAGGGAAACAGAAGAGAGTGTGACAGAGGCCTTCTGCTTACAAAACTTTCATACATAGTTAATCTTAGTGCTTTAAGATTTGAGGGCAGCACTGGCTATCACAGCTTTCCTGGTCAGGTCAGGGAAGACAGCTTGAAGTGTTCAAACTCAGAGGCCAGAGGCCCATAGACACATTCCACCAGGTGGCAGCATACAGTGGTTTCCAATTTGAAATGTTAAAAAAAAAAAAAAAAAACATTTCAAACACTTCAAACGAGTTTGCATTCAGTTTGACCCACAGTCCTTTAGAATTAGAAAATCTATTCAGCATAAGGGCTGAGCTGTTTGACACACAACTGTAGATGTAGAAAAGAGAAAAGGCAAGTAGGAAGCAAAACCTGCTTTGAATTGGACCCTTCACAGCCACATACCCTCCCCACAATAATAAAAACCAACAACAATAACAACAAGCAACCCACATTAAGGAAAAAAACAAAACCCTAAGCCTAGAAAGCCTTCAGTGCCCATGGGAATGCACTGAGTATGTAAGAGTAAGAAAAAGCTACAAATGGGATTGGACCCGTGCCCTCACACCAGCTGAGCCAGGTCACATTAAGTGGACAATAGGAGACGTGCCACTACAACATGTAGCATCTTTTCACAAGTTTCCATTTGAGAAAGCTTCATTGCCTCCTTTACTCTCATGATAGGCCCAAGTGCTATTTGCCAAAATCTATGCTCCAAAATAGGCAATTTCAAACAATGATAACAAAATGGTCCCACTTAAGTTTTCCATTAAAACAAAATGGTCCCACTTAAGTTTTCCATTAAAGACTTTATTCAGTTTAGTAATGAACTCTTCTGTATCTTGGGGGACAAGATGTTTACCTGATACCCACAGGATAGGAAGCTCTCTCACATTCGGTATGCTTCTTGGAGTCCTTGTTTTTTCCTAGAGAATCCCCAATTCATACCCATGGCTACTCACCCTCATGTCCTGTGAGCAGGGCAAGAAGGACTGGAGTCTATCTTAACAGTTCCATTTTCAACACTTCTAGGACCTGGCAAGAACCCTACATTCCCAGTATGGAGCTGCAGAGTTCTGGTTAGAAATAATCCTTCCTACAGAAAAGGATGTTGCAGTCATCATGTCTCCAAAGGGGAAAATTCTTCCCTCTAGTATCAAACTACAGACCCCCAAGGATTTGCACAGTCTTCTGTGGGTCAAAGAGTCCATTTCCTAGATGGTAGAAGACAGCTGATTCTCATGAAAGGACCCAGAAATGAATGACAGAAGACCTGACTTTTTCATTGATTCTTAACCCTTCTGTGTGTTAGTTTCCTGTTCCCTAGAATCAAAGAGATTAGGTATTTTATTATTCCTATGCTGTTAGCTCATGGTGTTATAAATACATGTAGTAGTGTTTTCGGGGAAAGACATTACTTCTAGAATCAAAAAGGAATGCTGAAGCAATAGACTAAATTATGTTCAGGCCCTATGTGCTTTTCAGGCATTGGCAAGAGACTCAGCAAAATGATTAGCCTCCTTAATGGAACAGTGGAGCTGATTTGAAATTACCTCCTTCCTTTGAATGGAGCTTGGAGACTTAAGAGAAGAAGAATATCATAACCTGTGGTTTCTTTTTTCCTCTAGGAACTTGGATCTATTGGTGAAAAGGGAGAAAAGGGAATCCCTGGTTTGCCAGGACCTAGGGTATGAACCTGGAATGTTGCTTTCCCCAATTTGTCAAGTCACCTGATCCATTTTCTTTAATGTCTGGTCCTTTATTTTATGTACTTGATAGCCACCTAAGTTTCTCTTGTTTCTCTCCCTCAGCCCACTGATAGGTTCTTTCTCTCTATTTGGCCCTATTCCCTTGACTGAGTGTCTCTCTAGAATAAGGAATGATATACTCCCTACTCCAGGTGGCTGCTCAGCCTATTTACTATCCTTGCCCTCATGTAAATTATCTTCTGAGCTAAAGTCTTTCTTTCATTCCATTCTCACCCAGTAGAATGTAGATGGGACATAGCACAAGGATGGAATAAAGAGGAACAAGTGCAATCTTTATAGGACAGAAATAAGCTTGGGTAATTATAGAAAGTAGTAAGCTTGGAGTCAATAGTAGACAATAATAATGTCACTTTGAACAGAAAAATAAACATCAGCCTATCTGATCCTAGCTTAAGGCACTTAGATCTTCAACTATAAGTAGTTGGCCAGCCTTAGTTAAATTAGTAACATTATATAGAACTGTGTTTTTAAGTTTGTACACGCAGTTTTTAGGAGTTCTTTTGAGTATTTCACAATATTCACTCATTACCCTGCCATGTCTTTCTCTATCTTTCTGTCTCTCTTGTCTTAAAAACACATAATCACCAACAAAGAATGTATTTGAGGTGGAAGACAAGAGGCTGTCCCATAATCTATTATAAAATCCTCTGACTTGGAACTAATGCAAACTAAGTATAATACCACCCAGCCCTTCTACCAAATTCCACCTACTACTTAAAATGTTTCCATTTATTTAGCTTTTAAAAATGCTCCATTTACAAATGCTATCCAGCCTGATGGATTAGTGCTTAGAAAGAAGTCATTAAGTCAGGTCTAGGAACATTCTCTTACCTGACTTTAGGGGCCACTAAATCCTGAACTCAGTTGGAGAGCTTTATTATGTAAGTCTAGCAACTTTTTCCAGTGTGGGCCAATAATCTTTCTAAGGTGTGGCTATTCTCTTTACAGGGTCCTATTGGTTTAGAAGGAGTCCCAGGCCCTCCAGGGACACAGGTATTTTGGTTAATATCAGTAAAGCACTTGTGTACAAAATTCTAATCAAAAGGCCTCCTTGCTTTTCTTAACATGGCCAAATGCAGACATTGCTTAGAATGCAAATTTTCCACTTAACCTTAACAATGTAATCTTAGCCAATCTCTTTTGTTTTCACCTAAGAGCATGGATAGGTATCCAATGTCACATTTGGTGCCTTGCCACGTCATTATATGGTAACACATCTTTGGCATGATATTGGGGACTAGCATGGCTAGCCTGCTTGTAGCCATAGCCTTGTGACCTTTGTACTTCCTAATATGCAAGTCGACTGTCTAGTGCCATATTGCCTTCTCTTCTTCCAGAGTCAGTTAGAAGCCACACATACCCTGAATGCCAGCCAAAATTCCTGTGCAATTTGCCCTAGCCTAATTCAAATACCAGCTCCATTTATACACTTATTCTTTGAACTTAGTGATAACTATGTTTCTGTCACAGGGCATGATGGGGCCTCCAGGTTTTCCTGGGCTGAATGGATTTCCAGGAGTTAAGGTAATGTGGTTGGGAAGTGAAAATTTAGGGTTCAGGAGGTGGAAAGGTGAAGAATTACTATAAATGCCTACATATTAAATGAAGTGTTTTTAATATTGATGTTTTAGATAGTATATTTTTCCTCCAGAAATACATACAACATACTTTGAGCACACCAAGCTGATAAGCATTCCTCAGATACTACCAACTTTTAGGTTTTATTATTATTTTTAAATTCTCTACAGACTTGTATCCCTTGTTGCCTGCACCTGGGGCAGACAGTGCCTACCACCTATCTTGGGTATTCCACTATATCTTATTCTGCTGCCTGAGGTCCTCTTTTGGGAGAGTTAGGACTCCTTTGACTTTCTCTACCTGACATCACCCACTAACAAAGCTAGTGACAGTATTACAGTCCCAAGCCTGCTGAGAGTAGAAAACATTTTTAAATTCTGCTCCCTCCTTAGCACCTCTTGAGTATGTCCATGTTGTCTATGCCTGTGATGTATTTCCAAGGCCCAGAAGCAGAATGACCTTAAGTAGTATTGCAAAATAAAATTGGGATTCCTTGTCCTTGACAGGTTTGCTATGGAGTGTCAGGCCTCTGGCCTGCCTTGTGTCACCTTTGACTTAAATTTATTGCCCTTTGAAATTAACTCTGGACTAGTTGGCCCTTGAAATCAAGGGTCTGAGAAGGAGGAACATTTCATTTTCCTAGGTACTGGCTATGAGAACACATAGATCTTGTGTGATGAGGTCAGAGAAATATTTGTGTTTAATGTATTTAATCTTTGCAGGGTGAAAAGGGTGGCATTGGCCTGCCAGGCCCAGACATCGATGAAGGTGGTGCTGTGATCTCAGGTGCAACTCTTCATTGATTTGATGGGAGAAGAAAAGACTGGACATTAAATTCTACATCCCCCATAATTAATAATACGATACTTTGTCAGCCACTGGATTGCTGACCCTACTAAGGGCCCTTCGTGCGTCCTGAACTTGGGGAATGGAACTGATTCCAGTCTCTTGGGCAGAGAAGACAAACTCAGCCTCCCACTTTTGTGTTGGTTCCATCAAGAGTAGAATTTGGGGGCTGGGGCTGTAGCTCAGTAGCAGAGCGCTCACCTCGCACGTGTGAGGCCTTGTGTTGAATCCTCAGCATCACATAAAAATAAATAAATAAAATAAAGGTATTTCATCCAACTACAACTAAAAAATATATATTGTTTTTAAAAAAGAGTAGAATTTGGCCAGGCATGGTGGCACATGCCTGTAATCCCAGCGACTTGGGAGGCTGAGGCAGAAGAATTGCAAGTTCAAGGCCAACCTCAGCAATTTAGCAAGGTCCTGAGCAAACCCTAACCCGAACCCTAACCCTAACCCTAACCCTTGGTAAGACCCTGTGTCAAAATAAAAAAATAAAAAGCACTGGGATATAGTTCAGTGGTAAATTGCCCCTGGGTTCAATCCCCAGTACAAAAAAAAAAAAATAGAAATTGGGTCTGCCTGGGCCTGAATTTCATAAAAATGGTTTTCCTAGTGATGCTTAGGAAAGGATTAATATCCTCCCTATATGGGCTGGTTTCAGCCCAATACTATGGAACACTCAGGGTCTCATATAGATGATCCCATACATGCTTGTGCTTGCCAATAACAGGATTAGGGGAGCAAGTTATTGAGAACCCTCAACAGTATGAAAGTTTGTCTTCATTTCTCCTTTTGCTAGTTACTGTGTGTCCAACTCTTCCCTTTGCCTCTTCCAAAGATTCAGATGCCCAGTGTCTCTAGCTACTTCTTGCCTGGTCAAAGGTTTCTACTATAGTGCTTCTTCCACCTGGGTCTCCAAACTTACTTCTTTCTTCTCATTCTCTCAGTTCCATGCCCTGTCTGATATTGATAGTTTACAGTGGCTTTCTGCTTCCAGGAACCCTATGTATATAACACAAATAGTGGACTTCATCTTAACCCAAATGGTAGACATTTGAGGTGTTACAGGAGATTAGTAGCAGGGGAAGAACTCGCCTACCATTTACCAGATCTAATCTTGGAAGGAAAGCCCTAGCCAGACCAATTCTGAACCCTAGTAGAATACTGCCTTCCATAGGCCTATTATCATGTGAAGCCATTAGCATCTGGGAAACCCAGAAAGGTCAAGAAAGGGATTTCTAGCTTCATGACAGCTCCCCATATCTTTTGTTGGGTATTTTGTGACATTGGTGGGGTTCTGATGTGTTTGTTTACTGTTTTATTTTTTGTTGTAATGCCAGGTTATCCTGGGGACCCCGGTATACCAGGCCTCCCAGGCCTTAAAGGAGATGAAGGCATCCAGGGCCAGCGTGGCCCTTCTGGCCCCCCTGGTCTCCCAGCCTTAACAGGTACAAAAAAAAAAAAAAAAAACAAAACCTAACCCAACCCTTGCACAGATCATTCCTGTGTCCACTCTGGTCCCTCACAGCCTTTTCTAATGATTCTGGGTCTGGGCACACACATAGCCAAGGTCAAAGGTAAGTTACACTACAGTCAGTAAGTTCTCCTACTGCCAGCCCAATCTGAGTAAACAGCTTTCCTTTGACTTAAATGATGTACCATAGCTGGACAGACAATCCCAGACTGTCAGTGAGGTTTGCTGCAATCAGAGGCGTACCTCTGGCAGCTGGAACCTTATCACTCTCCTGTTGAAGTGCCATTCTGGTTGATGCTTGCCAAGAGAGTCTAACAAAAGCCCAAAGGCAAATTTGTACCCAGACTCTGACTCTGGGATTAACTCAAGCACTATCTGGTCCTTGGATCCTATGGGTATTCTCCTTGCACCAATCTTCAGAAGAGTATACTCTTGTGTCACTCTGTAGTGGCAAGCAGAGAAAGAACATGCTAGAGTCTGGGAGGGGGAACTATCACAGATATAAAACCTTAGACATTACTTTTAAACTCACCAGTTCCCAATTTCCATGGAGATGGGCCTCTGTAAGGATACCTGTGCTTTTAAAGCAGAATTTTGGAGGAAGAACAGCTGGGCCCAGCCTCAAAATGGAAAAAAAAACAAAACTTGAGAAGTCAGAGGCTAAAGACTCAGTTTTCCTCTCAAGTTTACCACTAAGAAACTGCTCCTGACCATGTTTCTGTCCTTTGGTTTTCAGTTTTCCAAAAGGTTAGGCTCATTCATCCTTTAGGAACATTTCAACTCTGATGCAAGAGAAGGGCAAATGATTTCCCAGTTGCTTTCCTTGAATTGTTTACCATATATGCCACTGATTGTAATACCCCTGAAAAGTAGAGAGGTGAGCATTTTTGTGTTGGTTTATCCTTCCAGGCATACCAGGTGCCCTAGGACCTCAGGGATTTCCAGGCCTGAAAGGAGACCAAGGAAACCCAGGCCCCACCACAGTTGGCCTTCCTGGAAGAATTGGTTTCCCAGGCCTACCAGGCCCACCAGGCCCACCAGGCCCACCTGGTAAGTTTTGTTCATTTTTTTCTATGGTCTTGAGACCTGGATCAGGTGTGATTCATACTACAGAACAGTCATGAGTTTTGAGGAAGTATCTCAGGTTAAACAGCTAAAAGAGGAAACATCAACTACAGAGGGGAGCAATGAAGGCTCCATAATGTCTGAGTCAACCCTGCCTCTGCTGTTATCATCTATACCACAATGTTCTTCATCAAGGAACAAGCAAGCTGGGGCCATCTTGATGGTCAAAAACACCTAATGCCTTTCAGCTTCTGTAGATTCTCTTTACAGCCTTCACTGCTCTCAGCCCTCAGCACTCTGGCATTTCAGCTCCTGCAGAAGTATAATTGACTATTTTGAGCTTCCCCTGGTTCAGGGAGTTCAAGTGGAATGGGATGAAAGACTAAGAAAGGAGATATGCCCAGATCCTCAAGGTGGCTACTAAAAAAGCCTATGTAGGTGGGGATGAGGGTGTAGCTTGGTGGTAGAGCATGTATTTGCCTGGCATGTATGAAGCCCTGGATTCCATCCCCAGCACCAAATGAATGAATGAATGAATGAATGAATAAAAGCTTGCATAGAGTCTGTTCTTCTTAGATATTATACTTGAATATGGGAATCCAGATTCTGAAAGAAAGACTAGAAATATTCCCCAGCATGTTTCTTTGTACCCTAACATCTCCTAACCACTTCATCCTGCAGCTATTTTCTCTTTTGTCCCAAGGGGGCTTTCTGGGTTATATATTGGGCCTGCTGAGTTACTGAAGCCACCATGTTCATCCCTGAATATCCAATGCCTGGCACAGTGCCTGGGACATAGTAAAAATTCTGTTAAGTATTAGTGGAATAAATTGAGCCAAAAGGATTTGTTAGCTCCTTGCCTCAGACTTGGAGGTCCCCATTTTAGATATTTTCGTCTCTGAGTGGTGAGCCTCAAGGACACAGGCCTTGGTGAGGGACTTTCTATGTCAAGTCAAGTCAGTTGAGTTCTATAAGCTGCCAATCTTTCATGTATCTTTTTCCCTTCAGGTTCACCATTTAAGACTGGAACCTTATATGGCCTAGAACCGGGATTCCCTGGTCTCCGAGGAGAACGAGGTCCAAAAGGAAGCCCAGGTTTCAAAGGAGTAAAAGGTGATTTTGTCCCTTTGAGTTTCTTTGTCCCCCAAGCTTCTTAGATTCAGCTTTATGGGGAATAAGCAAGACAATAGCCTTGGCAATCTGAATGGAAGTAATTTTGACTCTTGAGAGGGGCTTTGATCACAGGATTATTGGAAGTGCTATATTTAGGACTCTAAGACCAAGACTGGCAACTGAGGTCACATAGGACACAATGGTGGAGGCTGCTTTTCATACTCCCTCCACCTGCTAAAGCTATTGCTAGCTGTCAGGGTATTAACCAGTTTGCAAGGGCAAGACTGGAAGCCACTTATCATCACCTTCAGCCTGAAGGAAAGGGCTCTGAACTGGTCAAGACCTGAGATTGAATAAACTAACTCCAGGAAAACAACCCAAGTCCCCAATGGTGCTGAAGAGCTGATCAATGAACCTAGCCTTCCACCACACTGATTCTCTCATCTTCTTTCTGCCTTTGGGTCATTTCTCCATTCCTTCCTCTAAAGGGAAGATGCTTAAAGAAATCAATTCATTATGCTTGCAACCCAGGCGTGCGTGGCAGAGGTTTAGGGATGGCTTAGGGGCTTCAGATATCTGAGACTTCCTGTTCTCTCCAGGAATTAACAGCTCTTCTGTCTTTTTCAGTGCCCTCTCATAAAATACCACTGCCTAAGTATAGGAGCAGTGACCTGTTTCAGATTCTCAGGTCTTGACCTAGTTCAGAAATTTCAGCAATATTGATCTCTATTATTCAGACTCAAGGAAGACTATGTGAGGGCAAAGGATATTAAATTGCAAATCACTGAATTTAGGATGTTAATTCTGGCTCTTCCCTGACTCTCTACATGGCTGGTGTATTTCTCAATATCGTTCTCACTCCTAAAAAAGGAGTGAGAACTAATGCTACCCCTTTTAAATTTCCATGGGCCCAAAAGGTTTTCTCTAAGTCTAGAATAGTGAGAGTGACTTTCAAGCATCATTCTACATCAGAACCACTTAGGGAAAGTTTTTAAAACTATATTCTTGAGTCTAGCCTTCTAAGATTGACTGATTCATACTTGGACAGAGCCCAGAAAGCTGCCTTATAAACAGGTGACTCATGTGGGAGGTCCATGAACACACTTGAGAAATACAGATTGAGTGTCCCTTATTTAAAATGCTTGGGACCAGGAATGTTTCTGATTTCATATTCTTTGGATTTGGGAATATTTGCATAGACCTTATGGGTTGATATCCCTAATCCAAAATGCCAAGATTAAAAAAAAAAAAAAAACAAACTTCTATCTCAGAGCATTTAAACTCAACCTATACTAATCTGAAGAACACATTGTTTTCTCAGTTTCAGGGCTTATTATTTTCTGACTCTCAGTTGGTTAAGTTTAAGTCAGTGGTTCTCAACAGTGATTGCACATTGGGCTCAATGGATGGCTGACATCATCCCAGACTAATGGAATTTGAATTACTAGCACAGATGTACTCTGAGGGAGAGTAAGCCTAGTTCATTTAAGTCTCTTTTCTGCAGGTCTCTTGATTCTCTCCAAGGCAAGTTATTCAAGTCACAAATAACCAATATCAAGTCTTCCTTCTTCTTAGATAGAGGACCCACTTTATTTTATGTCATCTGTTTTTCTCCCAGGGGACTCAGGATTTTGTGCTTGTGATGGTGGTGTCCCCAATACTGGCCCACCCGGAGAACCAGGTCTGCCTGGGCCACAAGGTCTCATGGGCCTTCCAGGCCTTAAAGGAACCAGAGGAGATCCAGGCTCAGTGGGCACACAAGGCCCAGCAGGGGCTCCAGTAAGTCTTGCCAAAGTTTGGCCCTGAGGTAGAAAAGGGAGCTTTCAAGTGTCCCTCACTCCTCACCAATCACTTTCCTAAAGCACATAAAAGAAGGATATAAAACAAAGCTTTGGGGTTTTGATCCATAACACAAAGAATTCTAAAGTCCCTCTGCACTATAACCTTCCCTCCCTCCTTCTTTCCCTTCCTCCCACAAAATTATTTACATTTGCCTAGCACCATGCTGGGCCCTGAAGATAAAACAGGAATTAAGATGAGATTTCAACTCTCAGATATTTCAAAATTTAGAAAGGACACAGAAAATGGGGCAGTTATTATTCAAGATGACAATGTAATCAAGTGTCCAGAGCAGTACCAATATGTACCCAAGGACCCCTTAGATCATATGTGCCAGAATTCTACAAAGTCTACATCTCCCCAATATTCCCTTTTGCCTGTTTTGTCAGGGATTGTTTGGGCCTCCAGGTCTTGTAGGCCCCAAAGGAAAGAAGGGTGAACCAACTCTCAGTACAGGATCTGGCATGCCAGGGGAGAAAGGTGATCCTGGCCCCCAAGGGTTCCCTGGTCTAACAGGAGCCCCAGGCAAGAATGGAGTACCAGGTTTACCAGGTCTGCCAGGCCTTCGGGTAAGTTGATTGTTCCTGGATAATTAACTCTGTAAATTCTCACACCTGACTTAGGGGAGATCTGATGGCCCCTGGACCAGGAAAACAGGACAGAATAGAGTTTGGAGCATCTCATCCTGGCTCTACAATGACATTTTAGGCTCTGTGCTTTTCTTCCTGTAAAATTGGAATCTTTTTCTCAGAATGATCATTGTCTCCTTTGATAAATGCTAGTAACAATTGACCAAATGTACTTGAAAATGTTTCAGCTTCTCAGTAGCTTTCTCCTTCACGTAATTCAACTGCTTTCTATGACCTCAAGGGTTCTTATACTGCTCATTGCCTGCCCTCTCCCCACAGCAGAGAACCTTTTGAAGTATCAGATCACACAGAATTGAAAGACCATTCCCACTAACTAAACTCAGAGAAGGTTGATTAATAAACTACAATCATGGAGAATTTTAGTGAAACAATCATTGGTCATATTGGTTAACTTATTCCTATGATCAGAGGACTCTCCAAGAAAGTCTCTGAGATAGACTTTCATTCTTTTTTGTGTTATCTAGGGTGATGGTGGACAGGGCTTCCCAGGTGAAAAGGGGTTCCCAGGACTTCCTGGTGAAAAAGGCCATCATGGTCCAACTGGCCCTCCAGGACTTGGGCTACCAGGACTTCCTGGACCCCATGGGCTTCCTGGAGATAAAGGAATAGATGGATTGCCAGGGCAAAAAGGCCTCCGAGGACCTCCAGGTGAGTCATGGAACCAGATGACTTTTGGACTTGAATATTCAACCCCTTTAGAGTAACTATGACTCTATGAAATGTGTCATAAGAAGAGAATAGGTTGACAATAATCACTACTTTTAATCCTCTTAAGCGTTTTTAAGTGAGAAAAGAATCATAATTGTATTGTGATAAGCTTAGAAGGCAGAATAATATGGATTTCAGCTCTATTTAGTGAGGAACAGAGCAGTCTGAAAATGTCCCAGAGCTGCTTACGGATGTTATGAGCTCATAATCCCAGGGAAAGTTCAAGGAGAAGCTGGATGACCATTTACTGCAAATGTCATCAAAATAATGAGTGGGGAATTAGACAAGGTGTCCTCTAAGTTGTATGGTAATTTCATCAGCAGGGAAGATCCTTTCTTCAGTTGATGGAATCTTGGATTGTGCAGAGGCACTAGTTGCATTTAATCTGACCCTTACTTATTATATTAATTCCCATTTATAATTTATTTTCCTACTTGGATTTTAGGCTATATAATAATGACAGTCCTGCTTATATATTATGAATGTCCTATGCGAATATCATCTTCTTTCAATACACTCAGAACAGCTCTTCATCTGAACTTTATTCCACAACTTTTCTGTTTCCCTTAGTGGCATCACAATTTTATTTTTACCTCTTTTTTTCACATTTTTATTGGTACATTATAGTTGTACATAATGGTGGGATTTATTGTTATAAATTTATACATGAGCATAATATAACAATATAATTTGGCCAATGTCACTCTCCAGCATTTTCCCCCTTCCTTCACTTCTTCTACCCCCCTGTCCCTTTCCTCTACTGGTATGCCTTCAATTTTCATATGATCCTTGACTTTCTGAGTTTGGCTTATTTCGTTCAACATAGTGTTCTTAAGTTCTTATAGTCATCAGAAGTTTGAAAAATTGAGGTTATCTCTTTTTCTTCCTTTGAAATGCCTCTTATATTCTTTTTTTTAAAGAGAGAGAGGTTGTGTGTGTGGGAGAGAGAGAGAGAGAGAGAGAGAGAGAGAGAGAGAGAGAGA